ACTGATCGGTTCATTTGTGCCAAATTTGATGCAATCCCCTCAAGGCATTCTTTCATCGTGCTCACTAGAGTGAGACGGATGAGGTACAGATAGACAACTCAAACACATGATGCCTGTGGCCACAGCTGTCGCAGCGCAGAGGCAGAAAAACTGGGCATGATATGATCTTATCGATATACACCAACTTATAGTTTCAGATAACACAAAGCCATTTGCAGATTAAGGAGAAGTTTGGCTTCCAGGATACTGATTTAAAATTTAGATAAATTCTGTAATCGACACTCCTGAGGACCCTATTTGACTCTGTGGCTTCAGCCACCTTCTATGGAGTGTTCTGCTGAGGGAGCAGTTGTTGACAGCTGACAGGAAGAGACTCGGACAGATAAGAGGACCAGATCTGTCCTGGGACGCTCCCTCGACCGAGAGGAAGTAGTGGGAGAAAGCAGACTGATAGGCAAGCTATTATCCCTCATGGACAACACGTCCTACCCCATGCAGGACACTCTGACAGCACTGGGCAGCTCCTTCAGTGACAGGCTGCTTCACCTGCAGTGTTTGAAGGACAGATACCACAGGTCCTTCCTGCTGCTGCCAGACTTTACAACCAACACTGCTCGCATCAGACCACACATACACCAACTATGGACAATCAGTCATCACTCATGTGCACTATCAGTATATAAGCTGGGTGGAGGACACACATCCAACACACTTTTGCAGGTGCTGGATCAAAAAGTCAAACTAAAGTGAGAACCAGACAGGAGATCCGCACACTGTGAAAAGCTCCCAGGAGTTTTAATCGTGCAATGTTTCGATCTATCAGAGATCTGCATCAGGCATTTTGAAATTACCACCACAAAGCCCAGCAAGCAACATTAAGACACACACTGCAACACTTTCCAGCTCCTCCTGGGGGACCTCAAGGTGTTCCCAGGCCAGATGAGATATATAATCCCTCCAGTGTGTTCTGGGTCTGCCCCGGGGCCTCCTACCAGTGGGACGTGCCCGGGACACCTCTATCAGGAGTCGCCCAGGAGGATCCTAGTCAGATACCCGAACCACCTCAACTGACCCCTTTCAGTTCAGAGGGGCGGCTGTGGCTCAGAGGTAGAGCGGGTCGTCCACCAATCGAAAGATCAGCGATTTGATCCCAGGCTCCTCCAGGCTGCATGTCGAAGTATCCTTGAACAAGATACTGAACCCCAAATTGCTCCCGATGGCTGTTCCATCGGTGTGCGAGTGTGTTAAAACTGAGTAGCAGGTGGCACCTTGTATGGTAGCTTCGGCCACCAGTGTATGAATGTGTGTGTGAATGGGTGAACGTGACTCGTAGTGTAAAAAGCGCTTTGAGTGGTCACTAGATGACTAGAAAGGCGCTATGCTCCATTTACCATTTAGACGCGAAGGAGCGGTGGCTCTACTCCAAGCTCCTCATCCTATATCCCTACAGAGGAAACTCATTTCCACCGCTTGTATCTGTGATCTCATTCTTTCAGTCACTACCCAGAGCTCATGACCATAGGTGAGGGTTGGGACGGATATGGACCAGTAAATCGAAAGCTTTGCTTTCTGGCTCAGCTCCCTCTTCACCACGACGGACCGGCGCAGCGCCCGCATCACTGCAGAAGCTGCAACGACTAACTGATCCATCTCACGCTCCATTCTACCCTCACTCATGAACAAGACCCTGAGATACTTGAACTCCCTTGCTTGAGGCAGTAACTCTCCCCCAACCTGGAGAGGACAATCCACCGGTTTCCGACAGAGAGCCATGGCCTCAGACTTGGAGGTTCTGACTCTCATCCTAACTGCTTCACACTTGGCTGCAAAACGCTCCAGGTCATGCTGGAGGTCACGGTGTGATGGAGCCAACAGAACAACATCATCTGTTAAAAGCAGGGATGCAATTCTGAGGTCCCCATACCGGACCCCTTCCTCCCCCGGCTGCGCCTCGAGATCCTGTCCATGAAGATCACAAACAGGATTGGTGACAAGGGACAACCTTGGCGGAGGCCAACACCCACCGAGAACCCACATTAACGTGGTGGAGGGGTTTGTGTGTCCCTGTGAACCTGGGAGCTGTGTTGTCCGGGGCTAACAGTCCCTGGTAGGGTCTCCCAAGGCAAAGTGGTCCCGGGGGAGGGACCAGACTAAGAGCAAGTCAAAGACCTCGATGAAACAGACTTTTCGGGAGTAGAGTACCTTGCCTGGTATGGAGACACAGGGGCCTCCTCCCTGAGCCAGACCTGGGGGCCCCGCCCCTGCCTGCCGATCCCTGGCGTCACAGACTGGCTTTATTTAACTAGTTATGACAATATTTTATTTAACTTTATTATATAATGCTCTAACATTATTTTAATAGTACTGTAATTTCATTATAACTACTTTATTCAACTTTTTTATAACAATATTTTTTAACTTTATTGTAACAGTAATTCATTAAATAATTTGTATTTTTGGAGTCTATAAAGGACTATTGTAATAAAGTTAAATAAAGTATTGTTATAATGAAGTTAAAATACTTATGAAAAAAAGGAAAAATATTGCTATATAAGGTTAAATAAATTACTGTCACAATAGAGTTAAATAAAACATTTTTATAATAAAATTAAATAACATATCGTTATAATAAAGTACTGTTGTATAAAGTATAGTTATAATATCTCTAGTCCTGTATACAACATAGTTTTTAGTTTTAACAAAAACTAATAATAGAGACCATATAAGTCCTGTTTCACGTGACCTTCACTGACTCCCAGAATCTTTTAGAATTGATTTTAAAATCCTTCTATTGGTTTTTAAGGCTCCTAATGGCCCCGCCCCCTCCTTTATAATTGACTCCCTATCACCTTGTGTCACTCCATGAACCCTGAGATCCTCCACAGCTGCTCTTTAACTGCTCCTAATGTCACGACAAAAACCTCTGGTGATGCTTCTTTTAGCTACAACGCCTAAAAAACACTGAACACCCCGCCTTTAAAAATCAGACCTGCTGCTCAGTGGAGTTTTAAACAACGACTCAAAACATATCTTTTCAACAGAGCCTATACCTAGCAGCTGTCTGTTGTAATATTCTTAATATGTTGGTGTAAATGTATTTTTATTACTTGATTAATTACTGATTGATAATTTATTATTCTCATTTCTTCTTGAATGACTGTCCTATAATTGTATGGTTTTATTGCGTTGCTGTTTGTCTCTGATGCTGAATTGTAACTGCGCATGAAAGGTGCTATATAAATAAAGTTCATTCGTTCATTCATAAAAGAAAAAGTAGCAGAGTAGCTACCTTGTACAGTGACCAGGTTGCTGGATACCTTACATAATAAAAACAGTAAGTGCACGGTACAGAACAAAGACCGATACAGTAAATCATTCCTCTCCAGGCCAACACCTCACGTCCGTCTGACACAAAGCACTCACAGCTCTCTGCAGTCGCTCCTCCAAAGCTCTGCAGTTACGTCACAACCATTTGTTCACACTGCTGCTGATGATTAACTGCACACTTGAAGCTATTCTGCACATTTCTTACAACCTCTACCTTCACCTCTCACCGTGTCGTGTCTGTAATCGATCTTCTATTTTTACTTTTGATATTTTTATTTTAGTCCTGAATATTTCTCTTGTATATTTTAAATTTTAGTACTACTGATTTTTGTATACGTTTTATATTCCTATATTCTCGTACATTTTATTTTCATCTGTTTTCAAGAATTTCCCATCTATCGATAATAAAATTAAATAAAGTGCTGTTGTAATAGAGTTAAATGAAGTATTGTTATAATAAAGTTAAATAAAGCATTGGTGTAGTAAAGTTAAAATATTAACATAATAAAGGTAAATAAAGTACTATTATAATAAAATTAAAAAAGAGCACCATTATAATAAAGTAAAATGAAGTACTGTTATCATAAAGTTAAAATTCTACTATAATAAAAGTTAATGTTAAATAAAGTATTGTAATGATAAAGTTTTAATAAAATAATAAAATAAAATAAAAATATATAATAAAATTTTATACAATATAATATCTATCTGATAGACATACGCACAACATACTGGTTAAAAAGTCAAAACGAAATAAAAAACACTCAATTCATAACTTTTTGTATCGGCCCAGTAGAACATTGAGATCATAATCTGTGGTTAGCACAAAATCCCCCGGCACACGTTGTGGCACACCATCTGAGAACCACTGACTGAGCGCACTACATTTTCCACGTAGCCTGTCCAACACTGGTTAATTCCACTGCAGAAGAGACTCACGACAGTTAACTGGTGAAAAAATCGGCAATCGGCCGATACTGGTATTAAAATGAGCTGCGAAACGAACATGCTTTTTCTTACTTTGCACAATGAATTAATTTTACATACACTGAAAACTATCTCATGTCTCCATCTGCTGGGCCGTCACTGTAAGAGTACGCATGTATATTATGATGTTAACTCCACCACAGAGGAGACAATCGCTACAATTAAGTGGGGAAAAAAGTGGATGTATCGGCCACATATATCGGCATATCGGCAACATAAATCCAATATCGTGCATCCCTACACAGATTCACATTTCTCATTGTTCACTGTGCTGTGGGTGCATTCCTGCTCTGACCCGACTCACACACACATTACAGAGTGTGTGCATGCGTTATTCACACAGGCTGCGGTGCGACCGACGCTGACGCACATTTAAACACATCTGTGGAGCCTGTCAAAGGCTCGCATTTAATATTATACTCGGACTTATAGTCAAAACGTTCTGGGCTTCAGATGGGAGATAAAATGGTGACGCCTTTGAGTCCAGTCTACGTGCCTTCAACCCTCCGCAGCCTGCACAGACCCCTCAGCCACACACAGGCTGCTCAGTGAGCTGCTTCACCTCCAGCAGCTGCTTTATCCTGATCCGCTCAGCCGCCAGTCAACGAGTTCCTGAACTCAACATGTTTGTCAGACTCATAAAACCCCTCTCAAAATAAAACAGGGACAGTGTGATCCGATCTTACCGTGCTGTGGTGCTGCTGTCAGTCTGCGCTGCTCCGCGGTAGGTCCCATGCTATTTGGTCAACTTTACTTTCACTTTCCACCTTTTCACTGGCACATCATCATCATCATCGTCGTCGGAATTTCCAGCCGAGGGGCTGGGTCCAAGCCAGCACTTGAAACTTGAAAACGAACTCCTCTTATGGACTTTTATAAGAAACCGGGCAGAGGACTCTGAAACTGTGGCAAAGGTCTGTCGAACACACAGTTACCTGAGCATGTGGACCTCACCTGAACTGAAGCATGGAACAATTCAAAAACAGGCCTGTGCATTGATTAGAGTAGCCTATATAGATACATACACATAAAGTGCAGGGGCGGAACTTTGGTTCAAAGGTGAGTATGGAGGGGTGGGAGGGACAATTAAAGTGGAACTTTGGTATTTTTTAACCTGGACCCTATTTTCAAACATTTTTGTGTCTAAGTGACAAATGGGAACAACGTTTTTTTAAAACTGGTCCAGTACAGACTGAGACTGCTGCAGCTGCACAACAGACTACAGTGTCTCCACTTGGGGCAATTGAGCACCATCAATTTGGATCCAACAAAACAACTTGTTTTTGGCACAGACAGGCTCAGATTGTTATTCTGAGCTTCTGTCAGCATTATGGAGAAGATCCCTACAGAGTGAGGCTGCTGTCAGCCCTAGAGTGGTCTCCTCTGGTCTGAATCAGGGACTCATGTTGTTCCAAAGTTGTATAATTGCCTAGAGTTGGTTGGTGTTCTCACGGCAGCATTTACAAGAGGACCAGATCAAATGCCTTGTGTGAGAAAGCTGCTCTTGATTGGTCAGAATTTCCATGTGGGAAAAATCCAGGAAGTAAAGCAAACGTTGAAGAAGAGTACACTTGCAAGATAAATGTGACACTTTCTAATGTCACAATGGAGGGACAACTACGCAGGTTGATTTTAGCGCTGCTCATCGTGGACTATATTGCTGTCATTGTTCATTTTAGTCAAACCATACAGTTTGAAAACGAGGCGCGGCTCCAACTAGAAAACAATGTTTTGATGCATTGGATGTGCTGAATGTGCATATTAAGGCAGTACAGGAGGAGGTGCACATTAATAATCCTCCAGGACTGTAACATGCTCATGTTTAACCCAAACAATGTGTCATGTGACTGCAGTTGCTTCACATCCAGGTCGGAACACCTTCTCACCACAAACCAACCGCACCAGAGTTCCTTTGGAACCGGACTGAGACCACCTCTTCAAGAAGGTCTCAGTCTGGTTGTTCTGCTGTGTTCACACCTGCACAAATGAACCGCACTGAGGGGGCAAACCAACCTGAGTGTGACTGAACCAGAAACAGCCCCAAAATCACCATCGCCAAACCAACCAGACTCCACTCTATTTTACAATGATAAAATTAAATTTTTTTTAAATGGAGTCTGGTTGGTTTGATGACAGCAATTTTGGGGCTGTTTCTGGTCAAACAAAAAGGATTTTAATCTGTAACAAAAAGGTCTATGTCTACAGGGATCCTTTCCATAATGCTGTCAGACAATTAAGCCCTGTTTCCACCAAGCAGTCAGTTCAGTTCAGTGCATTGTTTCTGTTTCCACAGTGAAAGTTGTGGATGGTTCCAACAGAAGCGTTCCTTAGCGTCCCCATGTTTGGTCCCCCCTCTGTTGGGGTACCTAGCACACAGATCTGGTACTAAAAGGTGGAGCTGTGAACACTGCAGTCTGATTGGTCAGTAGAAGACGGTCACTCTGCTCAGGGCTGAGTTGTGTCTGGTCTTGAGGCTCATGCGACCCGGGGGGAGAACGGAGGGCGGGCACAATGTTTCCACAGCATTGCTGTTGGGTCAGGATGGTGTTACTAGCAGTAAGTGCTGAATGAGTGGCTCCGCTAGCTAGCTACCACCAGACTCGGGTGGTGTGCAGTGCAGTAAACTGACGGGTAACAAAATCAACATTTCAGGCGACATGTGTAACCCGTCAGAAATATTCTAATATTCTCACAAACGTTAATTTTCACCGTTTACATCAATTCATCAAGAACATTCGCCAGTCTTCGTAAATTGTCGAGTGATTGATTTACAAACTGTCATTTTACTTTTTAAACGATTAATTTCAAAGTCTACAGTGACTCTAGCTCCATGTGTCTGATAAACAGAACTGACTCAGGTCCTCACCTTTGGGATTTTACTATTATTTTCTGTACAACTCAGCCACAAAAAGCAAATACAGGAGAGAACTTCAACAAATCCATCCTGAGTGATAAAGTATTGTTTTAATAAACCAGACATTTTTCACAGCAGATGTTTTCACTAGCCATTATGATAGCTGCATTCCTCCTCATTAGACGATTAGTGGAGCTGAGTCATCATCACAGTCACCATGTCCTCCTGTTAGAAGGCAAAATGTCTGCTGAGAAAAACTGGGGGTTCTTTTTCACAAACAGCCTGCGGATCTGTATTTTTCCTCAAATTCACAGATGAAAAACAGACAGAAACACAGACGCACTGTAGGGTCAGTAAGTTCTTTTACTTCACATAAAATGCCATCACCATCTGTAAAAAGCCTTCATCACGCAGTCCACAACTGACATTTAAATAAGCCTCATAATGAAAACCACTGACAGAAACACAGCAATAAGAAGTCTGGAGTGTCATTTCAGAAAACATGGTATATCAGATCATTTTAATAAAACTACAACACCCACAAATTCATCAAAAATGTTCAAGCATCACGATTAATTAAGAGTTAAAACAGCAGATTACAGAGAAATAAACAATATCAAATAGGAAAGAAAAGACAGTGCAAAACTTAATGCTAACATTTTGTCCTAAACCTGCTGCTAAATGCTAGTTCTGTTGCTTATTTAAATGAGGGGCTCATTTTCCAAACTGTCGGGACACTTATTCCAACACGTGGTGTTTTATATTAATAACATAGTGTGCAGAGGACTGAGGCACAGAGTGGGTCTGATAGCTGGCAGACAGGCTGAGGCAGGATGTGAAGAACTGGCAGAAAATAGGGTTACATGCAAACATCTGTTTCACCTTTCATGTACTGAACTGAAGCTCTGAAAACTGCAGCTACAGAAATTTTAAAGGGATAGTGCACCCAAAAATGAAAATGCAGCCATTATCTACTCACCCATATGCCGAGGGAGGCTCAGGTGAAGTTTTAGAGTCCTCACATCACTTGCGAGACCGTGAGACATGGGCACCACCTTCATGTGTGTTCACATGCTTTCGCTGGTCTCGCACAAGTGCACACACGACACACCAGAGAGGCAGTCAGAGCTACAGGCTACAATGAGGCTAAAAACAGAGTTCAAATGAGGTTTTTCCAAACAACTTTTTATGTCGGGGCTTCAGGACACTTGGATCACTACGGACGAGCAGTATGGAGATATTTTGTGGTTTCAATGATGTGTTTTTGGACGTTTGAATCTGGGGCGCCGTCAGCCTCCATTAGGTGGAGTTGTGTTGCTACCTCCTCTCCCCTTGGATCTCTGCAAGTGATGTGAGGACTCTAAAACTTCACCTGAGCCTCCCTC